ATTAATATAAATCTTAAAGTATTCACAACATTCCTGAACAGAAATAGGCCTCTGCACCTGGGGTGAGGGTGTGGCCATGAAAAACAATGTGACATGCCATTGGATGTTGGGACACGTAATAACATGACGCTAAGCATCGGCCAAAGAGTGTGAACTAACAACCACAAGGTCGCGGGTATGGCTGTACTGTAGGAAAAAATCCTAATATAAAAGTATTTTACTGTGCATTTTACAGTTTTGTTCTGTTCTTCTAGAATATCATTAAAGTTAGGTAAATAGACTGTGATTTCACACTTCAAATGTAAATTAACGTTAAATCACTAATGCAATAAAACATAATTTTATTGATATATTGATATACCTTTATTAGTCCCACAAGGGGAAATTTCACAAATATCTGTCCGTTATTTGAAAGATTGAACTGTTGAATTCAAATGTAATGCTATGGATTTGATTTGATTTGATATACCTTTATTAGTCCCACAAGGGGAAATTTCATAAGGCTGCCGACCTATTGCACGCAATGGCGGCGCCATCTTACCCTCCGACCATACATACATTACACAAAACATCACATGGGGAAGACAGGTCAGAGAGGTATAACAATGGAAAATGCACCACATGAGGAAAGATAAGGAGAAAAAAAGAACTCCCCCCAGACTGAGCTCCAACAGGGTGATCAGTTTGAGAACAGAAAAAAACACCTCTGCACATAGCACATGAAAAAACTTTTAATACACCAAAGAAACACATGACAAGCAAGCAGGGGTGGGTAAAGGGTGAGAGACAGCCGATTTAGACAGTACATCCGGGCCTGCAGCCTGTACGCTGGTCTCCTTGATCCACCGTCAGCATCAGAGGGGAATAAGCGTCGAAGGCGTTTGGAAAGGGAGGGGGGGATGAGTGTGTGGAAAAGTATATAACATGATTCCTATAAGCTTGTGTTACATCACATAAGTATTATTATCATTGCTATTTAGGGCAATTGTGGCTCAAGAGTTGGCAGTTTGCCTTGTGATCAGAAGGTTGCCGGTTCGAGCCCCGGCTCGGACACTCTCGTTATTGTGTCTGTGGTCAAGACTCTTCGCCTACTGGTGATGGCCAGAGGGGCCGATGGTGCGATATGGCAACCTCGCCTCTGTCAGTCTCTCCTAGGGCATGCAATCCATTATTATTTAAACCAACTGTTAACTGTATATTTCTGTACATTTACGTATTATGATTCATATTGCCACATTCATTGACCTTGTTTATAGGTAATTTCATTGTTTGATCACGTTAAAATGTTCCTAATTTGATGTCTAAAAGCACTTGGAAAAGGCAGAATCCCATGTGAAATTAGCGTAGCAAACTGTATTTTCATTACTGAAAATAACTGTATTTTCATGAGGAAGTTATTTTCTGTTATTTCACGGTAGTATTTTGGTGCCCCAGCTGCCAGAATATTACAATTTTTTTAAGATGTTTTTTTTAACAGTGTACTAGATGCAATGGGCTGGCTTTGTGTCTTCTTAAACATTCAAGCAGAACCTTGATGTGTACTGAAACTTTCCTGTACTCACACAATCCATACCTATGATTTCAGCACCAAGTCTGCAGGCTATTGTTTGTGGACAGATGGTGAAGAACACGGTCTCATTTGTGTGTAATAAGTCGTTACTAATTGTCTGCAGATTGGATCAATGTTCTATTCTGCTACAGCTCAGCTCCTTGTCTGTGTATTACCATAGACTGCACTGCCACCATTTATCACTGCTGGTAGAGGAAAAGTCCTTTTAAACTCATTATTAAGGCAATTTTGCTAGAACTACTTTAATTATAGCAAGAAATCATTTCTTTTGTGGCAAAAATTGAACCAATAGGAATTCATTTATGAGTTTTTTAAGGCATAAATGCATACATTCCCATATACATGAATAAACACAGCTGCCACACACAAGCTTTGCTCTAATTTTTCCTATCAGCTGGCAATGCCATTCACTGATATCTTAAAGAGCTTATGGATTACTTTTGAAGATCTGTCACTCTAATTTTTCACGATTGCAAAGAAGAGCCTTGTGCGACATTAATTCCAACAGCACCACAAGCCAAAGCTATAGTGATACTCTCTGTGGTTTGACTGAATGGGGGTATAGTCATAAGGAGTTTGCCTTTTGGGTTCTGAAGCCTTTTTCACTGATAACCTGGTCCTCAGCTGCCAGTTACTTTGTGTGCATCGCTGCCTTTTCTACTGCACCAGTCAAGACTTGAGACATTTGTGTAACTGATTGAATGCCCGAAAACTGACAGAGATAATCAAATGTTAGACCTATCTTTGGCAGTATGTGGTAAAGTTTGAGTAAGTGTGACTCAAGCAGTTTATTTAAGTGGGAAAGAGACCATTGGTTTATTTCATTGCAACTTAAATGTAAACATTTAAAAGATAACATGTAGAGGTTTGTCGAAGAAGCCATATAGATATTTAAAACTCCAACATATTAGACTGTCTTTTTTTCTTTCAAACATATGAAACATAAACAGATTTCCCTAACATTTGTCTTGCATATTTATTTTTCCATTAATACTCGGCCAATCTCTGCTGGGATCAGCTAGTCGTTGTTTTTTGAGGTGTTCCAAACTGTGTTACCAACAGGGAAACTGCAGAAAGTCTCTACCTTCAAACTATGGAACATCAGCACTAACAATAGTTTAAGGATGTGTCTTGTCTCTTCTTTACTTTTTTAATTTTTGCTTTATCAGCAATTATAGATGCTGATACTGAAAGGCATTTACTAACAACATATAGCCAATATGGGCCAACCAGTAAATTGTTGGTGCTCTAATATAAAGTTGTATACTTGAAGTCTTGCTTCAGCCAGGTTGATCTCTACCTTAGCATATAAATTTGGTTTTAATACGAGCAGACGATACTTTTTATGGGGAATTAGACAATTATTAGCTCTTTTATATTTGAAGTGCATACCATAAGGGTATCTCGCTGATACTGATACCTTCAAACACTGCACAACAACATTGCGAAGGACATTTGCTTCGCCCCCAATTCCAGTTAATGGTTTTATTTATATTATACAATGTAAAATGTAAAAAAGTACATTTTACAATGAATTACATTTTTTTAAATTAAATGTGGATTTCTAAGATTTGCAAATCATTGCATTCTGTTTAAATTTTACAAAAGATCCTAACTTAACTCATTCACTGCCAGCCATTGGCAGTGAATGAGTTAAACCCATTGACTCATTCACTGCAATTGACGGCTATAGACGTCAATGGCAGTGAATGAGTTAATTGGAATTGGGTTAAGTTAATATTAGCTTTGAGGCACTATGACTTCTCTCTATTCAAGAGAGGTCAAGAGAATAAAGTTCAATAGAATCTGTGCCGAGCTGAAATAAAAGACATTATCGTCACTACTATTCATCACTGATTATTTATCCCTAATTTTCCATTAAAAAGAATTCTATGCATTTCTCCTTTTTTATTTTTTTTTTATTTGAAGTATGAAACATTATTGACTTTCAAGTCACTCGCTGTGAAGCTAAATGCATGTGTGTTACATGTGCACTGGTATTTATGGTGGCTAACCACCATTTCTACATTACCAATTTACCTTTAGCCATGGTGGATGAATTGATAGACAGATAATAACTCAGAAGGTGTCTGTCCTTCACCTCTTTCCTTCATTTCCGCAATTTTTTCTTTACCCGACATTTTCAAACCCAACCAAGCCTTCAAATTGACCATATCCTAAGTGTGTTTTCACTTTGTCATACACTACTAGTACTTAGAGATTTCCCCATTTCCATCAGCACGTCATTAACCTTTAAGCAATGTATGTTTTCAAATCACGTACAGTGTTGCTTTTTCCTCCCCACTGCTGAATTAAGAAATGAGCCTGTCTCTAATGGTTTTTCTCATTCGGCGAATCACTTTTATGTATTTTCAAAGCCAGCATTTCCATCATTGCCCCTGCCCGCTGTATCAACAGCAGCCCCTCTGCAACAGCAGGAGTTTATCACCATGTTTCACAGAAAATTGAACACGCGGCCACATTATATCTCGTGTGCATGCAATGAGTCAGGGTCAGAGAAACATCCAGATATTCACACACATATGCTTCCAGATGTGCACATGTATAAAGACAGTAACGCACCCACCAAGTGTTCCCACACTTTTAGACCAAGTGTACTCTGTGTTGTGCACAGCATCTCTATGCTCATACATCATTAAGTGAGCCTGGGTGTTATTATGGAGAAGATGCAGTGTATTAGATGCCCTGACAGATTGTGTCAGGGCCTGCAATCCTATCAGGATTGGATAATAAAAAGACACTTAATCTAGGCAGTTCCCTACAGTCCTTTGCACACAGAATAAAAAATCCTGATGATCATTCTGTGCTCTAACTGTCCTTGTCAAATTTTCTCCTCCCTCTGTCCCATACTAAAATATAAGTTTAATAATTACAAGTTAATCTCAATTTCCACCATTCATCTGCCAAAACATTTCCCATGAAAAGGCACAGAGTTATAGCCCACCAACGTAAAATGCGTTTATTACCTTCTCTGCAACTCACTAATGGGCCATAGAAATAGGTTCCTGCATCAGTATGGATGACTGGAGTATGATCAGCTAATTTATGAGGACCTTGTCTCATCAGTAAGACCTGAGATGTGGGATAGTCAACTTAGCATGCTGTCCTTCTGGTGTGCCCCATTTTACTATCATTCATGATAAATAGGGGCATGACAGACACAACAACAGCCAATCCGTCACCTTGTTGAAAGTCATAGAGTCTGAGACATACTGTCTGCCTATGCTCTTCTTCTATCCCTGCCAGAGAGGAGCCAAAAATGAGCTCAGTAAGGGTAATGACAGAGGTATAATGCAGGCACATTGCCTGTTATAGTTTGTGAAGACATTTTTATAATGCTCTCTATCTATAGAAAGATACCTGATAAATTCAGTTAACTTGTCCCTCGTCTTGTTTTCTTTCCTGACAGTGGAGAGTAATCCATGCCAGACCAATCCTTGCCTCCATGGTGGAAGCTGCCTGCAGGAAGGGGATGGTTACAGTTGCTACTGTCCTCAGGGGTTCTCTGGAGAGAGCTGTGAGATCGGTGAGTCACTGCCAGGTCAGGTATGAGTGAGGGAACCTCAGAGGTCAGCAGCTGCAAACTGCTGTGTCCCTGAAGCATAGGGGGAAATAATGACAGGCATATTCTGACTTAACATTTAACATATGCAGTCTACTGTGAGGTGACTTCACGAGGAAATGGCAGATTGCCTCTGTGGGCCTTGTTTCCATATTATGTGTTTGAATAACTGATTACAGTCTCAGCGGCTTCACTGTCAGGTCCAGGAGGCCTGGGTCAAGCTCCCTGACTGAGAATGAACATGGAATCTCCATATGCTGCAAGTCGGCCGTTTGTGCCAGAGGCTGTTCAAGATGAAGTATAGAGTATGTGCCTCAACTGTGTGTGAGTGTGTGTGTGTGTTTTCACCTTCTGCCCTGAGAGCAGTGGGCAGCTCATGTTTCCACTCAGCTATGTGATGTGAGAATGTGTCTGTCAGAAAATGGCAGTGCAGTGATTTAGGTGAATGAGGCTGTGTGTGTGACACAAGGACATATAGGCCACAGAGGAGCTCTGAGCTCACTGAGCAGTGGAGCAGCTGATTAAAGTATTGTCGAAGCGGTGCACGCCGCAGTGGATGAGGGAAAATACAGGGAAGAAAAGGAAGATGTGGCAGTAGTAGAAAATATCAAAGTGACTTTACTACTTTGAATGGCACTTTAAAAACTGAGAAACACTCAGTGGAAGACTTTGACTGAGCTTAAACACATCACCTTTGATGCAAAGTTGTTGACAGCATTCAGTCTGACATTGATTCTGGGTCCTGGCCAAATTTCTGTGGGAAGACTACAGTAAATGTTAGCTTGTGCACAAGAGTTACACGATGTTGCAGTATGTGCATATCAAGCCATGTCCTGTTTTTGTGTTGTCCTTGCTGTAACAGCTCCAACAGATGAATTACAAGCATCTCCAGTTGTGGTTCCGTCGTCCATGGTCTGATGTCTATGGTCTGATGGTCTTTTTCAGTTTTTCACAGTCATCCATGCAAAGATATTCGGCCACGCTGTGGTTTTAATGATCAATACTTACGGAAAGGAGTCACAGATCAGGGGTGAATATATTGACCTGGCTCTGATTATTCAATGCCTTTTAATGCTTTGACTCAAAAGTACCTATTATATAACATTTAGGCATGCCTGTGCATGAATGTCATTGAAGATCAATCAACACTCTGTTGGATCAATGAAAATTGATGCCAAATGAATGTATAACAGCCACGAATGCATTTTGTAATGATTTTTAGCCATTGGATTTGGTTAAGGCTGCATAAAGCTTGATGGTTTATAGAAGCAGCTAGAATAAATTGTGATATTTTAGCTAAAATGTTTGGGCAGAAAAGCACTAAAAAGTCACAAAATATTGGTTATTTACTTATGTCTTCATTTCTGTGTCTCTCTTTGGCTTTCTTTTCTTTGAAGTTGTTATTTCCCAATGTAACTAAATTGCTGTGATGGCAATTAGAACAGCTGCATATCTGATGTGTTTTGCTATTACTTACCGCTAAAGGCAAAAAAGGTTAGCAACCTATAACAGAACATGCTTGACTACAATTTAAATATGTGCTATTTTGAAGAGGGAGTAGAAAGTCAGCTTTAATAACAGTGTTTCATTTCACATGTGTAGCCTCAGTGTCCTTAATCAGTCACTGATGGACAGCTTATTGAAGAGCTTCCATCTTTTTTCTTCTGGTTCAAATTGATTTTAGACAGCCAATACAATCCTATTATAGCCATAAAATCCAATAAACCAGTATTCCACCCATTGCCCCTGCTCCATACAAGGTGATTATTTAGGCAAAATGATGCAATGTCATCCTTAGGGACTGTCTCTGGAACTTTTGGGAATTTTTTGGCGAAAAGTATTTTACAGAACTGGTGTCTTCATGCTTTTTGTTTCCTCTGTGAGTTTGTAGTTAGTATTTATGGAGGTGTGACAGTGTAAAAATTATCTTCCAACTCCACTCTAACTTCTATTCAGGGCTCTAACTTTATCTAAACCCACAGAAGGCTGTCAGTAAGACATATGGGCAGTAATAAATCTAAAGACATTAACAATCTTGTTTGAAGTTGTGGTATCCCACTGATCATGAGAACCAATTTTTAGAATGCTGCAATAGAAAAAGTGGTTGATGAGGCACATCAAAGCCTCTAAGTTTGATGGCCATGTGTTGATACACAGTGATTAATTATATTATCCATATCCCACAGCTGGAATGAGTTGGAGATACAGAATAATTTAATAAACATTTACTGCACAAATAAAATAGTTGAAGGACTTGTTGAAGTGATTATCTTTAATGATTCTTGTTGTAACAATGAAGTGTGTGGATTGCAATGTTAAGGTAAGGAGGCAAAGTTGACAGTTAACAGAAAGCTCTAGACTAACTTTTTGCCATGGGCGTACCAGCACAAAAGTTAGGCGCACACAAATTTTATAATAATTGATATAATATAATGTGTTTTTCTGGATACACTGTGCTTTTTCAGCATTCAAAGATTGATGACACC